CAAAAAACAAAAAAAAACACAAAAACACAAACAGTAAAAAAAAACATGAAAAAAAAAACAGAAATCCAATATAAAGTAAAAAGTCGTCCACATAATAAAAAATCTCCTTTACTGTAACTAGTCACTGGCCTTCCCTGACACAACCGGATGACTGTGTGTGTGTGTGTGTGTGTGTGTGTGTGTCCAGCTACCTACCTGTCTCTACCTGTTAATCAGTCCTCATACAGCTTTAACATTCTATACTTTGTCTTATTTTCTCCCTCTCACACCCCTCTCGCTTCTCTCCCTCTCACACCCTCACCCCTCTCACACCTCTCCTTAGTGTCCTAGAGTTATGAAGTGGGTCATTGATCGTCCAAATATATACACCAGTACACCCCTCCCCTCCCCACCCCTCCCCCCTCCCACTCCCTCCTGCCATGCCTCCCCCTCCCTCCTGCCATCCCCTCCCCCCACTCCCTCCTGCCAATACCCCTCCCCTCCCTCCCTGCCATACCCCTCCCCCACTCCCTCCTGCCAATACCCCTCTTCCCCCACTCACTCCTGCCAATACCCCTCCCCTCCCCTCCTGCCAATACCCTCCCCCACTCCCTCCTGCTTAATACCCCTTCCCCCCACCTCCTGCCACTACCCCTCCCCCACCCCCCTCCTGCCCTACCCCCTACCCCCCTACACAATCAACATTACTCTCCACATCAAATCTTTATTGACCAACTTGTTCCTTTGCCCGACAGACATTCACCTACTGACGCTGCCTCCAGAACACCTACATACTAATACTTACACCTTTAATTAGCACCTGTGTTTGGTATACCTGAGTTCGTATCACCTTAATTTATATATAATATGTATGGTTGTTTATAGACATCTGGTGACATTGTTTGGGTTGTCCCTGATTGAGCTGACTTGCTGTTTACCCTTGTTTGTATACCTGTATTGTCTGCTTATATTGTTTGTATGTCGCTGTCTCAGATGATGTGAGTGAGTGAGGTGATTAAAAGAGTGAGTACTGGAGAGGTGAGTGAGATGAGTGAGGGAGAGATGAGGGAGAGAGAAGTGAGGGAGAGAAAGAGGTGAGGGAGAGAAAGAGGTGAGGGAGAGATGAGTGAGGGAGAGAAAGAGGTGAGGGAGAGATGAGATGAGGGAGAGATGAGATGAGGGAGAGATGAGTGAGAGAGAAGTGAGGGATAGAAAGAGGTGAGGGAGAGATGAGGGAGAGTGTAGTAAGGGGTAGGGTGAGGGAGAGTCTAAAGGTTCCAGGTTGTATTATTTATATACGGGTTCATAAGCTTGACCCTGACTTTTATCTCAAACCAATAATGTATCGACTCTCTCTCTCTCTCTCTCTCTCTCTCTCTCTCTCTCTCTCTCTCGTCTTATTTTTTACTATATTTAATGTATGTGTATGTATGTATATATGTGTATGTGTGTGTGTGTGTGTGTGTGTGTGTGTGTGTGTGTATGTATGTATGTATATGTGTGAGTGTGTGTGTGTCGTGGGGTGGTCACAATCTCATAATTAAACTTTTTTCCTCAACATACCAAACAAAATCTGGAGGGAAAAAAAAATATCGTATTATCTAAGAAACTTCTGTCTTTTTTTTTTTCATCTGACAGTAAGTCGTCTATTGTTACGTCATTTATTCTGACGTCACCTTCTCTGATGTCAAGTAGCAGTGGGATTAATAATGATGTTTACGTAACACGACAAAGAGTTCAATACCCGCGTCTGTCTGCCTGGTAGCCCTGAGTCGGTACTTTTTATTGTTGTGGTGTAGTCAATCATAATGGTAGTCTCCTGGTAGTGTGGTTGTGGTGTAGTCAATCATAATGGTAGTCTCCTGGTAGTGTGGTTGTGGTGTAGTCAATCATAATGAGCCAGTCTCCTGGTAGTGTGGTTGTGGTGTAGTCAATCATAATGGTAGTCTCCTGTTAGTGGTTGTGGTGTAGTCCAATCACTGTGGTGATCTCCTGGTAATTATTAGTTTGTGGTGTAGTCAATCATAATGGTAGTCTCCTGTTAGTGTGGTGTGTTGCCAAGTCAATCTCTCAATGGCAGTCTCCTGGTAATTGTAGTCGTGGTGTGATCAATCATAATGGTAGTCTCTGTTGGTGTGGTTGTGGTGTAGTCAATCATAATTGTAGTCTCCTGGTAGTGTGGTTGTGGTGTAGTCAATCATAATGGTAGTCTCCTGGTAGTGTGGTTGTGGTGTAGTCAATCATAATGGTAGTCTCCTGGTAGTGTGGTTGTGGTGTAGTCAATCATAATTGTAGTCTCCTGGTAGTGTGGTTGTGGTGTAGTCAATCATAATGGTAGTCTCCTGGTAGTGTGGTTGTGGTGTAGTCAATCATAATGGTAGTCTCCTGGTAGTGTGGTTGTGGTGTAGTCAATCATAATGGTAGTCTCCTGGTAGTGTGGTTGTGGTGTAGTCAATCATAATGGTAGTCTCCTGGTAGTGTGGTTGTGGTGTAGTCAATCATAATGGTAGTCTCCTGGTAGTGTGGTTGTGGTGTAGTCAATCATAATGGTAGTCTCCTCGCCACCATCTTGACCATTATAAAACAAAAGAGCCTCAGGTTAGGTTAGGTTAGGTTAGGTTGTATAGTGTATCGATCCATTACCTCTTCTTCCTCCTTCTCTTCTTCTTGCCTCTCCTTCTACTCTCCCTCCATCTCCCGCTTTTCCTTCCTACCGTCACTCTTCCTTTTCCACCTCCTCCCCCCTTTCCACCTCCTCTTCCTTCTCTTTCTCTCCTCCTCTTCTTTCTCCCTCCCCTCGTCCTCCCCTTCCCTTCCCCTTCTCCTCCCTCACCAGAACCTTCCAACAACGACGCCAGACATTGACATTTCCCAATAGTATCACTGAGTAAATATATCAATAATTCTGGACGTGAAATCGACCAGTCCGTCTCGTCAGCTCAACAGGTATCCAACCAACTTAGCTTATTGACATTTTTTTTTATATGAATATCAACTTGAGTTACTTATATGTCATTCACCATCACTCACGTATGTAAATTTAACCTAACCTAACCTAACCTAACCTAACCTAACCTAACCTCCTCGTCTGTGTGGTTAATGTCGTCTTCCTCCCCCACCCCCACCAACAACCTTTTAAGAATAAATTAACATTATCGGTGAATATTATTGAACTAATCTCTAACCAACCACTTTATTTACACACCTAAATACGGGACCCCGCGTTGCACCGGCTCTGCAATACTGTATGCAATAACACCTTCATCGGCTCTGCAACATGCAACAAATCTCTAGATTATATACATAAATATTTTCTAGGTTGCATCAGATTAACATGCAACCAAACCATCACCTGTCCTCTCCTCCCTGACAGGTGATGAATTATAGACGAACGTGTGTGTGTGTGTGTGTGTGTGTGTGTGTGTGTGTGTGTGTGTGTGTGTGCGTGGTAATAAATAAGCTGGTAGCAGGTTGAAGGGTGGTGCTCCAGTGGGTATTGAGTGATGGTGATACTAAGTGGTTTCAGGTGTGTAGTTTCAGGTGTGTATGAAGTTTAGGACCAGGTGTAAGTAGTGGTGGTAGGTGTAGGTAGTTGTAGTAGATGTAGGTAGTAGTTTAGGTCCTGGTATACCTGGTAACAGATGTATAGGTTTAATAAGGAAGAGCTATACCCATGAAACACCTCAGGTAATCAATGCAAGTGACCATGAAAACTGTATCAGGTGTTTCCGACAGGTAAGAGTAATAATTAATCACTAATGAGGGTAGAACACCTTGACTCACCTTCGTACCAATACCTGTATACCATCCTATATCTACCATGACCTTGCTGATCTTGACGAGAACGCAGGTCAAAGGTTAAGGTTTTAAAATAAATCACAACTGTTCACTGTATGGGGGTGACCTTTACGGACTGACGGACGGACGGACGGACGGAAGCGACATACTACACAGCGCAACAGCCTTAGCTATTAACGATATGCTAGCTGATTAATTGGTAGCTATTATGACTTAACTCTCGAGGCCGGCCTTTGATGTTAAGAACACGAGGCCAATAATATGATGGTGGTAGTGATGATTAGTGATGGTGGTAGTAGTGATTGTGGTGGTGGTAGTAGTGATTGTGGTGGTGGTAGTAGTGATTGTGGTGGTGGTAGTAGTGATTGTGGTGATGGGAGTGGTGGTGGTGGTGGTAGTAGTGATTGTGGTGGTAGTAGCGGTGGTAGTGGTGGTGGTGGTAGTAGTGATTGTGGTGGTGATGGTGGTAGTAGCGGTGGTAGTGGTGGTGGTGGTAGTAGTGATTGTGGTGGTGATGGTGGTAGTAGTAGTGGTGGTGGTGGTGGTGGTAGTAGTGATTGTGGTGGTAGTAGTGATTGTGGTGGTAGTGACGTTTTGATAAAGCAGTAGACTTATTATGAAACTTCTCAATACAGTGCAGAACATTCTTTCTATAGATGTGAGACTACTATGTCTGTCTGTCTGTCTGTCTGGATTTACCTGTCTATTTCTGATGGTGTATCATTCCAACAAGCTTTTTGTCCGTCCGTCCGTCTGTCTGCCTGTCTCTCAGTGCGTGTTCCTGTCTGTCAGTGTGTCTGTGTGTCACCTTCTCTGTCAGTGAGTGCATGTCTGCCTGCCTGTCTGTCTGTCTATGTCTGTCTGCCTGTCTGTGTATACGCCTGTATATCGTTGTAGGCCATCATTAAAGAGCTTCCTTGACACACATACAGACATCTCGTGTTAGGACCACCTCACCGTCACGCCAATTACCTCATAATCATTACATCTCTATCACCAGAACACAATTAATATTACACTTTAATTAAACATAATGTCGTTGTTAATAATAGAAATCACTTTAGTTGCCAATGTTAATTTTTTTTTGTAAATATATAATAAATGTTAGTTCTAAATTCTATCTTTCTTCTTCATCATTATTATTATTATTATTATTATTATCACATATATATTTATTGTTTGTGTATCACTTTTTTGAAGACTAAACAACTTCCTCTCCACAGGTTCCAACACTACACCATCTCGGAGCTCCAGTGTGGTAAAATATAATACCATTAGGTTTATGTTTATATACCATCTGGCTGGTTTATGTCTTGATAATTGTTGTTATTTTTCGCTCTAAATGTTGATGTACAGTATTTAGTTGATAAGCTAGTTAAACAAAATAAGTTGTCTTTGTTCTTCTTAAGCGTTTCCTAGTTGGTCAAGTCAGTAGCCAAAGAGATTCAGTACAGTAGATGCAGTTTCTGTGTCGGTCTGTACCTATGTTGTATGAGAAGCTTAATTTTGGGCCATTATTTGAATTTTAAACATGAATTATTACATACTAACAGCCCAAATTAAAAAAAAAATAAACGTTTCAGAGAGTACTTGTGGCACTGGTGTGTGTGTGTTAAATATTCCATCACCAATTATAGCCAATCATCATTTACCAGCTGGTTAGTGTTAGTTAAGTGGCGTTTCCCCCTATTATACACTCACCTACCACCCTACCTCACACGTTATCAATGATCTAATCACTATCATCTATCACCCGTGAGAGGATACCTTACCATAACGTTCAGATATATACAGTGGAACCTCTATTTAATATACTATATGGATAGAAAAGTCCCATTATGTCGAAAAGTCCGTTAGATGTGAACCGACCCCCTCCCCAGCTAACGGATTATACGGATAGACAATTCCGTTATATGGAGGTTTAACTGTAAAAACAAAAAAATAATAATAATCAAACTCTGTAAATGTGTCGTTTTGTCTTCATGATATTCACTCATGCAGCCACAGCCTAAGTGGTCCCCTGCATCAGCTACCGTCCACCGCTCGAGCCAGCAGATAACACGTCGACGACTGAATAAACATCTCCCCCCATCTCACTCTTGACAACAACCACAGTTTTCTCAGATGACCTTTAAGACAAAGACGAGGAGCCATGGAGAACCCAACCTCGCGGACCACCTCATCTATATTGTGTGGCTATTGGGAGTTACATCACCACGTTCTAACACAAGTGACCACCATCGATAACCAGATTACCGACCGCCCGCTGTTAGGAGGAAAACCTTTTTCGTGGTGACCTTCAGACGGACTATCTCATATATTATGGCTGTAAGATGTCGTAGAGAAGGTCACACTTACACACACACACACCAACTCAGGTCTTGGTTCCTCGTGCGGCAGGAGTGTGAGGCTCATCGAGAAGGACTTTTGGGGTCGGCCAGGGATTTATTTTATGTCAGAGGAGCTGGCGGCGGAGGAATTTCATCGCATATTCTTCCTCGCGTGAGAATATCTTGGTGGTTTAGACTGACAATCTTTATAATCTAGTCTAAAATCCCTTCGTTGGGGTGTGGTGGCGTTTAGATATCTTTATGAAGTACATGGCAGGTTGTGGTTATCTACGACATCCAGTATTTCACACTCATCCCTGTGCCGTACTAGCTCTTTACTGTGTTATGTTAGTTCACGCTTATCCTGTATGGTGGTGCTGTGGACCTGGGGTAATACTTGGTTGTCTGGTTAAGTTAGGTTAGGTTATGGTAGGTTAGGCTAGCATAGATTTGGATAGTTTAGGTTTGGTTAGGTTAAAGAAAGTTAGCGTTAGTGGTGGTGAAATAATTTGGGTGGGGGGGGGTGCTAATTTTCAGGTGATCCATTTAACTTCCCAGAGATTAGAATAACAATGTTGTCGAGTCAGAATATTGTGCCTTGACCTTTATTAATTATATAGATTTGTAAGTATTAGCAATTGGTCCTGATTCAGTTTATTAATAATGCCATGATTGGTTTTCGCTCAAGAGATTACAAGACGCGGCTCAGTTTCTTGGAAAAAATATATACATACTAGGTTACAGATTCTCGTGGAGGTCGCGTGATTGTCTGTATTTCAAGAACAACATTTTTTTTCACTTATGGGAGAACTCGCAATATTGATGTAATACAGACATTCACGCCATCACCCACGGAAATCTGTAGGTTAGGTTAGGTTAGGTACTGTGTATACATTTTTTTAGGGGGACAACCTGATATATTTACTTTCAATTTCCGTCTGAGGAAGAAATTGAGGCTGGGAATGTGTACGAACATTTTATTTATATTTAATTTCCTATTTTTTAAACTGTTTATTTTATTGACTTTCTTTCTCGGTTACTTGATGTGTGTGTGTGTGTGTGTAATAATAATAATAATAATAATTAACGGTTTATTGAAAGAGCTTGGCAACCAGAAGGCTGAAAATATACTGTTACATATTTGGGGAATGGGTTTCGGATTACAAATAATATACAAGTAACATAAGTGATACAAATAAGATATATAATAACTAGATGGGGAAAAGCTCAAACTACTGTACATTTCAACATTAATGACTGCAAGAAGTAGTATTTACTGGGAGTGAATACACTGGTTTGTGTGTGTGTGTGTGTGTGTGTGTGTGTGTGCACGTGCTATTCCTGACCTTCCCGCCCCTCGCGTGCACGCACACACAACACGCACGCACTCTCAGCCCTCCGTATCGACCACATGGGAGTGGGCCCCTCCTCCTTCCCGACACACCTCTCTAGTCTACCCTCCTCTCACCCTCGCTTCCCCATTTCTCTCCCCCATTCTTTATCTTCTTTCCAACTTCCTAACCTACCTCTTACCCCCCCCCCCTTCTATCTTTCTCTCAATTTCTCAACACGTGTTCCACCACACCTGTACCCCCACACCTGTTACCACCACACCTGTTCCAGCACCCATACATCTTCTACCACGTGTCATCAGCTCACCCGAATTAAACAAAAAAAAACCAGACAAACATAACAGGAATAATTGAATGTGTTACCTGTGTCGTGTCATGCTGCTGTAAATTACTTCTGCATTGTTATCATTCACCTGTTTCTGAGTCCACCGATTTTTCGTGATTACAACCCAGGTAATTAATTCTGAAGTTCAGGGGTCACTATACACACTTACTGTAATTAACAACGATACGTGTAATTAAAGATGTATATGAAACCAAGAACTTATATACGTATTATATGAGGGAATTGCAGTTAATGGTGACTTATATTTAATCTACTGGAATACAATGAAACATGAACTAAAAATAACAATACCATGAGAATTGTATTGCGTGATTAATTAAGTTTATGTATTTTTGTAGCCTGAGTCATAGAGTATAATGGTGTATGTAAAGCATAAGGGAACCTGTAGAGTATAAGGGAACCTGTAGAGTATAAGGGAACCTGTATTCGGGTACCTGTAGAGTATAAGACTATAAGGGGACCTGTATAAGGGTACCTGTAGAGTATAAGGTGTACCTGTATATGAACCCAATGAACTATCGCTACTGAGAACCGCCCTCCCGATAGACAGACATAGGTTAGAGATACAACTGTTATGTGTCTCACTGTGGAATCTGTCCTTGAAGTGTTATAGAACGACAATACCCCCCTCACCTTCTCCCTCCCGTTCTCCCCTTTCCTCCCTCCCTCCCCTTCTCCCTCCCGTTCTCCCCTTTCCTCCCTCCCTCACCTTCTCCCCTCCCGTTCTCCCCTTTCCTCCTTCCCTCAGCTTCTCCCTCCCGTTCTCCCCTTTCCTCCCTCCCTCCCGTTCTCCCCTTTCCTCCCTCCCTCCCCTTCTCCCTCCCGTTCTCCCCTTTCCTCCCTCCCTCCCCTTCCCTTCCCCCTCCTTTACCTTATTTCAGGGTATACGCACACATCTGTTACTGAAATTTCAAAGAGAGAGAGAGAGAAAGAAAAGAGAAAATAGAGAGTAAAAAATGAATTTGAAAGAAAATGAGAAAAAATATAACACTTAACTCTACGATGTTACCCTACCGTGTTTAACTTACTGCTTCTCTAACCAGTATTAATAAGTGTCGTACAAGATATTAGTTATGTTGAAAGCTACGAAGGTATTCAATAATTGTACTAAAAACTATATTATTTTTTTTTCTCTTACACGTCATTTAAAGATTGTTTATATCATACGTGCATATTAATTCATTCAAGATTAAAAGTGTACATGGCATTTATAAACATCGTGTGTGTATGTGTGTGTGTGTGTGTGTGTGTGTGTGTGTGCGTGCGTGTGCGTGTGTGCGTGTATATAGGAGTATAATGTATATGAACTAACACTATCATTTTAATTCACTCGTGTCTGGCTGTCATACACTATAATCATTAATACCTTGTACACTGTGGACAGAAGCTCAGGAATGCTGTCTACAAATATTCCACCAAAAAGACTCAATTAGTGGCGTTATGTTGACAGAAAACAGCTCACGGAATTGGATAACGAATTCTAAAAATACTTTCAAATAAACTCTACCGGAAGCTAGCATTTGATGGCATTATTGGTTCAATTGTTGTACTGTTTACTACTTGTACACCCAAACTGCCTTAATAACATTGTTCGAATACCTACAGTGTGTGTACTATATACCTGCATTGACTATATATACTTCCATGACCACTAATGTTGACCCTGCATGACCACAATTAATAACCTCTCATGACCATTAGCTTTGACCATCACCCATGTCACTCTCCTCCCTCATGACCCCTAACAGCGAATGACCTTTTATGACCAACATGCAGGGGATGAGCCATTGGACCACGGCACACTGCACAGCAAAAAATTCTTCTTAACTGTTTTGAGCAAGAAATATTTTGAGACTGAACAGAGATCACACACACACACACACACACACACACACACACACACACACACACACACACACACACACACACACACACACACACACACACACACACACACACACACACACACACACACACACCAAGAAAGAAATTGGAGGAAGGTTAGGTTAGGTTAGATTCGTTTAGGTTAGGTTTAAGTTAAGTTAGGTTAGGTTTAAGTTAACATAAGTTAAGTTAAGTTAGGTTAGGGTGTTTAATCATCAGGTGATATAATTTGGATTTCCTAAACGTCAAGTCACCTTACTGTAAATTATGTTGAAAACTATGAAAAATATTCTTATGGCCTCGAGCTGACCCAAGTGAGTGTGTTATTATACAAGGTTACCATTAC